CTCAGTCTTGTCCCCCTTCTTATGAATAGGAATAATTATGGATTCCTTCCATTGTTGTGGCATCTCTTCCTTATCCCAAATTAACTGTATAAGCTTATGGATCCTCATATGTAACCCTTTGCCACCTGCTTTAATTAATTCTGCTTGAATCTGATCAATACCTGGAGATTTATAACTTTTCAACTTCCCAATGGCTAGTTCAACTTCATCTAAACTAGGTTCTGGCACCAACAGTTCAGCTGTATGTATTTTAATCTGTCTAACCATGAACATTTAAGAGCTCACTAAAGAAATGTTTCCACCTACCTCCCAAATATAAAAACTTTATTTTTAATGTTATCATGAATTGATGTTCTTTATTGCAGGCTGTCATTCCTGTACCAGAAGCTACTGCATTTAATTCAGAAATACATACCATCAGATGAGTGACTTAGCATGATATTTATGATGTCAATATACCTACAGATCAAGTTATATTTTATTTATATTAAGCCATATTTTTTATGTGTATATGAGTACTATCTGCATCTGTTCTTTTGAGCATTGTATGCTGCCTTAACTTTTCTGTGGTAAGGAACTTGGTACAGTATGGCAGGTATTGTCTTTACAGAAAAAATTGACATCATTAAGATCCTTTATTTGAATGCTGTTAAATACATTATGAGAGGTACAATGTTATTTTATTTCTTCTCTCCCCTCCCCCATAAACCAGAGCATTACATGTGCACAGTTTCCTGAGAGTTACCATTTATTTCCTGACACTTCCTTGAGTGACAGGTCAGCTTACTGGTGAGTACAGTGTATGCTGTTATAAATTCTGTTGGAATTCACTTCATTTAATTACTGAATCAGTTCCCATAGATATGAATCTTCATCCCCATTATTTACTTCATAATTACTAAGCTCACAAGCATACCTACAGTCTTCTTCTCTGCCAGGCACTGTATTTATGCTGCTTGCTTTGGAATTATGGGGTTGTCTTAAAAAAATGAACATCAGGGCCACTGAGCTATGTTAAATAGCAGGTCTGGTTTTGAAAACATATAGGATATTCCATTGGAATCTGTTGCTTGGATAAAAGTGTATTTTTCTTTAAATTTTTGAAGTCGGGGTCCTTTATAAGGGGTTTGGTGAGCACTTTCAGGTCGTGTAAGTGAAGTTCTGATCCTTTTCTTGCAATGATAGGCAGTTTCATTTTTCTCAATTTCCCTATGCCATGGTACTCATATCAGCTGAACTTCTTTTGGTCACCTAGATCATTTAGGGGTAGGAGGCAGTCCCAGACTAACTCAGAGTCAATCATTTGGTATATGTCAAGTGCTTTAAACAGAGTTCTCCCCAAAGAATAGCGACACAATAAAATGCCTACACAACGTAATTCGTGCGACATTTAAAAAGAAACCAACAGATCCGTTCCATTTAGGCTGGCATACCAGCTCAATTCAACAACAAAATATGCGATATCATTTAAAAGACGGTAATAAATAACCACCCCAAGTTATCCAAAGTTCTTGACGTTCTCCGTAATGAACTGTGGGACATTAAATTGTCCTTCCAAAGTAATCTGTGCTGTAGTGATATGAATAACGAATTCAATATATTCATCAGTTATTGTGGTATAATGTGAGAGTACTTTTTCTTTGTGCGTAATCGTACAATTACTGCTAATTTACTCCTTTAAAGCCGACGATCAGAAAAAAATACATATACTAATTATGTTGTAATGACAAAGAAGAAACCAAGCGTCTTCAATACAAATGCCAATTAATTCACCCATACAGGCACAGTGGCACCAAATGAAAACACCTAGATAACATTATTCTTCTTATTACAAGCGTAGTCATATAATTTTCACTCCTCCCCTCCCCCGCAATACTTAAATGATGTAACTCACTTTACACGTTTCTTACTAACCATGCATAAGTCTGTATATTAAACGGAGTGCATGTCTATCTTATAGTATTATCTTTGATGACAAGTTTATGGTGTAATATGTTCTGGAGCGAGTTCATGGAGTTTGATCGAAGGGTACATGTTTCCGGCGGATCTGCACACAATATCAAACATTAATGTGACTATGCTGTAGTCTTAATCGTTGAATTTGTGTTACAGTTTTGGCTCTCGAATTGTCGTGTCATACTTGAAGGTAATTAAGCTATGAACCCTGCGACAGTACCAACTCTGGTTGAAGACCTACAAGGCGATGGAAGGTGGTTAAGCATGGTAAGAACATGCAGATTTGTATGCTCGTATACAGTATGAAACCTAACCTCTGAAATGTATTTTGATATGCAGTGTTAGGTACCGTTGCTAATACTTGTGGCAAAATTAAGCAGGTGTGATTATTGAGATTGAAAATTAAGGGACAAAATGCAAGACCATTCGTATTCAGCTTAGCATTAAAAAATGTGTGTTGTAATTGGTGAATTTTTATAGAGACTTGACATTTCAGTGACACTCAAATTTTCTATTTCACAGAGCTGCCGAAATTCTGAGTAGTTACCATGACTGAACAATCGTCAAAACTTTATGAAATAAAAGACTACCATCTTCTCTTTCCCCGACTGCGGTAGAGGATTTTTCCTCTAGCCTCTGCATCCAGACTAGCTCTTTGGCCTACCCAACCTCCTATCCAGTGGGTACCAGGGTCCTTTCCCAGGGATAAAGCATGGCCGGGGCGTGATGCTGACCACTCACCCCAATCTAGTGCTGAGGTCGAAAACCATCTTTCGTTCATAACATACATGAAACTCTGATCAACCCTGTTCTCATGTTATTATGTGCAGAACGTGTCGTTTGTAGGACCACTGATAGATGACAGTACAATAGTAGGTGAAAGATGCGATAGACAGACAGACATTGATGGGCCAATAAGGTGTTCTTCACTTGCACTAAAATATGAAGAACACCGTATAATTATATATTTATGAAATCAAATGTAGTTAGCAAATTCGTAACACTGTTGCTATGTACTTGGGAAGTCCTGGTTTAAGATCTCAGCTTGTAGATGGCTTCTTAATATGACAGGATTTTCATGGTTTTTCTCAATCTCTCCAGACAAATCCAGTATAGTACCTAGTAATAGTATTAAAATTTTAAACCCTTGCCACAATCTGACGGAAAAAACGATGAGACCACCATTGTAAATTACTTAGTAACATGTATTTTATATGTTAATGGTTTCATTTTGATACCTCATATGGTGGTGGTGATGATGAGGATGACAGTGACATATTTAAAGTGTCTATGCTTTAACTGGCTAACTATTTCCAATAAATTTGTACCTTTTTTACAGCACAATCGTTTCCTGTTAGACACAAAAGAAAAGGAACCAGATGTGGTATTTATTGGTGATTCTCTAATACAAAGATTGGTTCATACAGAAATGTGGAACAACTTCTTTGCTCCCATGCATGCCCTCAATTTTGGTATAGGTGGTGATCTGATACAAAATGTTTTATGGCGGATTGAAAATGGAGAATTGGATCACATTAATCCCAAGGTAATCAGATTTTATTATAGGCTTATATATAATGTAGTGATTTCAGAGGAACTGTTTTTTGAACAGATATTTGAGCATTTTTAGTATATGGCTACATGGTGAACACACCAAACTTATTTCAGAATTTGGTTTTATTTATATTATATTCATGGTGTAGTGCTTATCCACATGGAAAACCTAATCTTTATTTTATGCCTTGTATACTCCAACACATACATAACATGATTTAAAATAACTTAATGTGATGTGTGTAATATTTGAAGTTTTCACAGCAGTGTGATAATAGATGATCATATGAGTTTAGAGGAACAAATTGCCTCCAGCATTGTGTTGATGGTTCAAAAACTCAGAAAATCATTTTTTGTTTAATCTAACCTCTTACTGAATTTGCATTTGTCAGAGGAATATTAAAATATGCTTCAATACTTGTAGATGTAAAAATATTTGTTTGCTAGTACAACTAAAAGCATCTGCATCAGAATGTGAGAAAAACACAAATTCACAATTGGTCGGTGTAGTGTAAGGATGTGTTTTTATTTTGATACAAACTATAAATGGTTTATGAATTGTATGCAGAATGTTGTGCAATTTGTACCCTCATTTTAGGCTGAATTAAATCAGAGAAACAGCCTTACTCATGTTTGCATGTTGAAATCCATTGGGGAGGGGGTATTACTAATAGCTAAGGAGATTCTTCAGTGGCATATGCTATATATCCTTACTGATGTTACGTGCAGGGTCATGAAAATTTGTATAATGGGCATGTGTACATATATCCAACTTCTGTAACACTTTTTTTTATAAAATGACAGGCCGATGTTATGATAATACTAATTTTTTGATAATAATTAATGAGCCATCATAGTTAAGTATATGAAATTCAGTATGTTTGGATATTATAAACATGCCCTCAAATTTTAATATTACAATTGTTTTGAATGGGCACCTATTAAGATTTGAGGTTGAAAATTCATATTAAGTCTTATTATGTTTGGTTCCACGTGTTTCTATTTAGAAACATTGCGGTAAAAGTGAAATAAATTGCTTCAAACAGTAGAGACCTGAGTGCAGATTCCATTATTGACAGATATAAATGCCTTTTGCAGAAGAAAAACACTTGAGAATACTCAACTGGTAAAAAATGGCAGTTACACATAATTGAAATTGTGTTCACTGTTGTAAGTTCACCAACTGCCACATGTAGATTTCATTTAAATTGAACAGAAGTGTTCCTAATACTGCTTTGCTTTGAAATACTGACCACCTGCTCTTGAAAATATTTGATGTTTAAAAATATCAGTGAACATACATTTATCTTGACATATGTTTGCATATATGTGTGTGTACATGTGGTTTTGCCATTGACAAATATTTTAGTTGCCATGGATACATACATTTTGAAAAAACTCTGTATGGAGGGTTTAATATGAATTATGTTGTGGAGTTAAAATCACTTCATATGTCCTAATTGTTTGATTTCCCCTTTTAGGTGGTTGTGGTGCTTGTAGGAACAAATAATTTTCATTGCACTGCAGAACAAATTGCAGAAGGAATAATGGAATTAGTACGAGTAATTCGTGATAAACAGCCTGATGCATACATCGTTCTACCGGTAAACTTTTTATTTTACCTTGGGTTATTATCAGATGTGCCATCTTAGTGGTTGCCATTCATAGTCCTGATGGAACGTTCATTGTAAGGACCAGTTATAAGTAAGAAATAATTTACTGCTCATTCAGTTTATTTATAAGTTATGTGGTACAGTGAAATGTGTCTGTTTCCTATTACAGTACCTGACTTAAAGATGTGACAGAGCTATAGATTATTAAAATTATAGTGATATAATTACTAGTGAAATTTTATGCCACACATCTGGTTTTCATATTTAATAAATCTGTCTTTTTTAATTACTACATACACCTGTACCCTGGTGGTAGAGGCAAAGACTATACAAGTAGTGGAGGTACATGTTTCATACCTGAATATTACTGCCACCACTGTGTCCAGACCAGTTCTGGGCTCCACCAAGCCAAGTGCTGGGATCTCTTCCCATGAGTGCAGAGCAGACACCATTGCATGAACAATGCTATAAGAATGCATAAGGATTTTCTCTGATTCTGCCTGTGTGCCTGCATTGTGGGCGCCTACGTACAGGGACATCTTGCATGTTATCTTTACCATTATATGATACTTTATGCTTTAAATGACAGATTTTCTGGAATTACCAGTAAATCCCTTTACAATTTTCTGCATTTTTACTAAAGTAAAACAATTTTTGTTTTTGTTGCATTGTAACCATTTAAACAAAGTTAGTGTGTAGCACCGTGGGAATAAATTAATTCATTGATACAAATAACAAGTGTTTGTAAACAAAGTTCCGGAAAATATTTGGACCTAGGAAGGATGGAGTAAATGGGCAGTTTATGGTATTACATAATAAGGAACTATGTGATTTGTACAGGTCACTTTCTGTTGTTAAAATAATGAAATATAGGAGGTTATGATGAGTTGCACATGTAGCTAGAATGGAAGAAATAAGGAGAGAATGTGTTGGATTGTGAGTATGGGTAGTGGATAGAACTGACTCTTAATTTATATCTACTGGTGGGCTTTAATGTTAATGGTGTCAAACCTTTGGGTTCTACTGCCATAGTATTTGTTTGTATTCTTTTGTTGTTTGATCATAATATTAAATATGGTATTATGTTTGGTTTTTGGTTTTTTTTTCTAGACGTTACTTCCCAGAGGACAAAACCCAAATCCTTTGCGAGATCGTAATGCTCAAGTAAATAAACTAGTGCGTTCCAAAGTTTCTGCAGTGCCAAAGTGTGAGATTGTTACAATTGACAAGGGATTTATCCAGCCAGATGGCACAATCAGTCATCATGATATGCATGACTATCTTCACCTAACAAACTCTGGCTATCAGAAAGCATTCGAGCCAGTGTACGAACTGTTGCTGCAGCTGTTAACAGAGGGAGAGACTGAGAAGGATCTGACACCTTCCGAATGAATGAGAAGTGGAAGGTTTGTCTTGGAAACACTGAAAATATACAGTTCCAATCATTCTGCTTAAGAAGAAATGAGTCTCCAGTGGAGAACACAATAAGGTTGTAAATGCCTCAAAGACTTTGTTCTTCATTCTTCTTGTATAAAGCATTGTCTTGTTCAGAAAAGATTATTCTCATAAAGGAAGAAGAATTATATACATAACTTTAATTTACTATTAACTTCAAACATCTGAGTGGCATACTGTCTTTGCTTTTCTGAATTTCACGAAGTTGTAAGACATAATTTCTGAAATGTTTTCTAAACTTCATAATTTTGTTTATTGTGATTGGATGTTACAAAATGACTGTTTAAAATAAATGTGAGCAAAGTTTATAACTATTTTTGTAAGCAGTTTTGCTTTGCAGTATATGAATAATCGAAGAAAATGTTCTGTTTGAAAGTACTTTCCATCATTTACCATGAATTATTTTTTCTTGATTGAAGTCTTCTAGAAGTTGTATAGTTCACATTGTGGAGTGTTTAATTTCTACGTATGTTTTATAAAACTTAAAATCATATCATTCAGTAAACGTTTTCCCAGTCTGCAGATGCTAGGCTTTATGTACAGCTTCTGTCAGTAGAAATTGCTTCACTACTCAAATCTAACTTTGCGCTCAACACCTAGTGGCATTACAGTAGGAAGAATGCTACAGGACTGGCAATACAGAATAGCATCTGTTGAATATGTTATGTTCTCAATCATAAGGCATTGATATAATCTGTATTGATGAGTTTAATGACCCTATTAATGACCCTACCAGCAGTATCAGTTTAACAGCAGAGATAAGTTATTCATGAGAGGAACAATGCTTATAGTTACATATTACTCATAAAAATTATGTATACTGTCAGGTGAGTGTTACCATATCATCCGGTTTTAAATAAATTGGCATTATGCTTTCTTATTGATTGATATTGTGGATTTAAGCTGATCTGAAGATTATTTTGCAGTCAAACCAGTCTGCAGTAAATATATTCTGAAAAGGAACAAGAGGCCATTTTGATGAGTGTATGTTTGGAATTCTATGAATAATTGTGGTCAAATTAAAATAAGTCGAGAAGAAACTGTCGTGTGTCTTGTAGAACGTAATCATGCCTTTTTTTCATGTGATAATTAATGTTGGCAGTGGAAGACAGAATTGGCCTATGATGATTATTTCTGATGACTGAAAGAGTATTTGTGTTGTAACATGTTAATTCCTACAATTAAACCGTATTATAACATGTACATTAAAGTAAAAGTCATATGGTCCATTGAATCCATTCCATATTGTATTAGACATCACATGTATAAGAAATTATGGAGAGAACTGGTTCCTGCTTTTCTTTAAATGCTGTCTGTTGTGAGGGTCCAGCAGCAATTATAAATTTATAATTATGTACTGTTAATATTTGAATAGTAGATTATGCTACTGGTCAGTCATAGTTCTTCTGTTAATATTCAGCTACAGTTTATGCTAAAGCTATTTTACCAGTGCCACAGTAAAGGGGTGTAAGTCCAAACATGACAACTGAAATATTATTTCATATTGTAAAATATCAAAAACTAGAACTTCAGTTGATAGTTCATGTTTAAAGAATCAATATATTTGTGTGGTCTTTCTGATTTTTTATTTTTATTTTATGTGGGGAGGGTCATGTCTGTATGCCTCTTTACTGTGGCACTGATTATGTAAGCCCCAATGATTAATAATTCATTTATGGTATAATACATAATATAAAACTTGAATTTTCAAATATTAACAAGTTTGAAATAATAGTTTCAGCTTGTATCTATAAAGTGAGACCATTCAAAAGATGCTATGAAGTTGGATACAATTTCTGTGCTAGTACTATGTCACTATTTGAGCACTATCTATCTTATTTTAGGCCTGGCATTTCAGTGATTTTAAATTTGCATTTAGTTACCTGTATGAAGTTTTGATTATTTGAACATTTTCTGATGTAAACGAAGTTTCATTCTAGAATTATGCTAAATTCATAGGTGTTTGTACAATCGCAGTACGAAATTTCACTTGCCCATCTACAATGGTCAATCAGTTATTGCTATCAATTGTAGATTTCAAGATGTTAATACTAAATTGTGCTAGTGATATTCCCATATGGGATATTTGGATGGCTGTCTTGTAATTGTAAGTATTGATGGTGGGGTACTGAAAATTAGAATATGGAATGATATGGAGCTGTGATAGCGTACATACAATGTTTTATAAAAATGTGCCAATTGGTCTAATGTATTAGGACAGAGGTGCACAAACATGACAAAACCTCAGTTTTATTTCACGTGGAAAGTAAGGAATATGAGCTAAAATGAAGTGGTTAATTCTGAGCATTTCTTAAAAATTGTAAGGTTAATTTTGAGCTTAAAACAAATACCTAATTGAGTCTTGTACTGATAAGATTGTAAAATTTGTTTTCACTTTCGCCATTATTGCAGTGTTCCTCTTGACGTTCGAGATTCTAATTGAAAATGCCAGTCTTATGTGTATTGCCATGTGTATGTGTGTTGTAATGAGGTTTTGATGTATTTATGCAGACACGTTTATTGCTTCATGTGCATCATGTTTATGAAAGATTTCATTTCCCCCACATATACACTGTATTCTCAGTTTTGTGTGTGTGTGGGTTATCTGCCACATCTGGATTATTCATATGCCTGTATTTTTTTCCCTTTTAGTTGTAATTGCTTTTTGAACTTATTGAGGGTTTGTAAAGATGGCTGTCTTTTGGGTTGTTACACCACATAGTCTGGTAGAAGCTTGCCGACATATCAGAAATGCCTGTCATCTACATTATCAGAATGATCACCCTGATGGTGAAGGCTGCAAGCACCTCTGAAGTGTCAGTAAATGTCTACCAGACTGCAAGAAACAACATCCCAGAAGACAGCCTCCTTCATACTGAAATCTCACTTAGTTTGCTTTAGGTTATTTTTCAGCTGTTTGCTTTGCTTGGCCCTACCTGTTGATTGGTGGATCTCTGTGTTATTTTTCTAAGTTAATCACTGGATCCCAGGATCACCCCAGGATGAAACATCCTTCCCTGTCCATGCACTAGCCACCCATTGGCTTGCACTCAGATGTGTGCACAAGCCTTGGGCAGGATATATGTGGGCCAATGTAAGCACACAGCTAGGACTAGCCTTAAAAATAAGGACAGAGATGGCCCTCAAAACATTGGCAGGGTTTAACCAAGTGACACGGCTGCTGGCCAGAGAAGATTTTATTAAAGACAGCTATAGTGTTTATACCAAACTTATATTTAGGAGATAACCAGATCTGAATTGCAGTTGAACCACCAACTATCCTCAATTTCTTCAGTCACTCTAGTTGCTTATCTGAATAGTACCATTAACATGGACAGCCCTTCAAATCTTTACCACCTCATCATTCATGATCATGCCTCTGTCATTAGGGCAATGTTGGAGGCAGCAAGGACCTCTGAAATGTCAGTAAACTTCTACCAGACTACACAGCAGAACAACCCAAAAGACAGCCATCTTCAGACTCACTCCCATGGAAACCTCAAATCTTACTGAACAGAATTATTACATAGTTTTATTATTTTTTAGTAGTGACTGTAGATTACTGTGACACATGTTGAATACAACTTGCACCTCATAAACAAGTTAATTTGATTTATATTTGTAGAGTAATTGTATGAGAACAAGCAAATAGTCATGAACTGGTATGTCTTCAAACCAGATATTTTGCTTTAAACCTTTATTGTTATAATGCAATAGTACAGCTGTCTGCACTGTGATATTACAGAATTAAACTGATCTCTTCGTTTGTAGGCTGTTCACTGCAAGTACTTACAGAGGGACAGAAAAAATTAAGAGGTTGGAATGCAAAGATAAAGTTCTTGTAGTGCAGCCCAAGCCATTACAGTTGGCAGAGTGAATAAAGCTCAATTTTAAACTAAGATTAAATCTTAATTACATTTGAAATTATGTTCCTTTGCAATGGTTTCATGTGCATGTATGTTCATTGTTTACTTAATAGTACTTGCCAAAATGTAATGTGCATTCGTTTTCCTTTAACTATAACCCAAATACATGTCTGCAGATTATATTCAGTTCTGCTAGGTTATTTATTGGAATTAATTTTTACTTTTTGCAGGAGTAATGAAAAATATATATATAATACTAGTTGTGTTCTGTGATTTATGTCAAAATTAATACTGAACATACTGTATTATTAAAATAACACTTTTGGAAATTTTGTAAAAACAACTCTGAATTGTTTCTAGAAAGAGATAAATATGCTAGTAGTTGTTTTGTGTACTTATAAGATATTCATGATATCCAGCACACTTGATGTATGGAGACAGTTTGATTTCTTCAATTTAACCTTTTAATTTTGGAATGGGCATTAAATTTTGGGCAAATGCAGTATGTAAAATGACAATAAAGAGATATGTATTGTCTGAAATGAGTTTTTTCATGCTTGTTGATTTCACAGAACTGAACAAATATTATCTTCATTTTGATTATTATTATTTGTGAATATTTTGTTAAAAAAGTAATTTATTCACACTGCCATCAGTGTTCTACAATAAAATATATTTTCATTTGAATTGTTTCTCAATGTTAACCTTCCAGGAATTTTCTGATCTGTAGATATAATCCATTGGGGAGACATGAGGTGTGGTGGGTAGATAGATAAAAGTTCCTGTGACAGATAAGCATGAACTTTATCAAGGCAGAGATAAGGGGCATTTAGTACTGGTTATGTCTTTCTTCCTACACAGGTCAACCAGAATAGGTGATATGAACTGAAGTACTACAAGGTAATTATTTAATATTATAATATTTAAGTCTTAATTTCCTTTTGTGTGAACTGAGTGATCAATGCAGATCAAACGTATTCCTATCTGTGCATAGTTTAGATAAAAAGGCAATCAGTTACATAGTGTCCACTGATGTTCTAAGATGCAATGAGATGTAATAGTATGAGGTCAAACATTCATAATTAAAACTTTCCAGCATAATATGTAAACATTTGAAATATTTAAAATTATACATTTTATCAGGACTCTGTTTTTATAAAATATAGTGTACACTAATGTAGGATGCAGTGACATGTAATTGTATATGTATATTTAAACATATGAAGTATTCAAAATTACACATCTTGTCAGGACTCTGTTTTTGTAAAATATAGTTTGGGGCAAAAATGCAGGTATTTTCCTCATGCTAATGAGTTTTCAGAATTGTGAATCACTATGTGTTATGTAATCTCCTAGGGCTTCTTCCTTTAGGAAAGAAATCTTTTGCTAATTAAACCATTCATGTTTCATATTTATTCTTTGAATTTCATAAGTTGAACATTGTGATGTGAGTAGAACTCCTGTTTCCTGATCAGCACATCCTGACTTTGAATCTCAATTGTGAGTAGAACTCCTGTTTCCTGTTCAGCACATCCTGACTTTGAATCTCAATCCAGGGGCTTGCCATCTTAACAGACTTTTTGCTTTTAATAGTTTTCCTCAATTATTTAAAGTAAATTCTTAGATTGTGTCTTAAGAGGCCATCTTTTCTAGATCATCATTTAATGTCTTCTTATGCTGTATAACCAATGCAGTTAGGAAACGATTGTTAAATAAACCAAGATTCAGTAATTTATTTCTTCTATACACTGGATAGAACATTTTGCCTGATGGCTTGTCTTTTACTTGTGCTATATTTCTTGATGCTCAAACACTTGGTGTTTAAGTGATTACTCTACTCATTTATTTATCTACTTGTTCTTTCCTCTTGGCATTGGATATTTCATTGGTGGGCCTTCTCGTGGTTTGCCCGTTTTCTCTGCAATCTTTCACAACTTAACATATACAATATTTCCTGATTTGCCTTGTTCTTTAAGCTTTTCTCTGAGTTCTGCTACGTATAGCAGTGTTGGTCTGATGAGGGTTTTTTTAGAATGTTTTGTAACTTCCAAAATTTTATGTTTCCTTATATTTCTTTCAAATTTCATTTTTTTATTAAATTGCAACAACTGAGCATTTTACCCTTGAGGCATAAAAACTGTTTCAGTCAACTGACTGCTGGTGGAACCCAAAAGTTTGATACCACTGATATCATTGCCTGCCATTGGATACAATACTGAGCCCTCATCCATTATTACAAGTTATATCTCATTTTAATGGTGTTCTCCTGTCTCATTCTCTGAAAGTTTCCAAAAAGTTTCCTTACTGAAATTTTGCAAACTTTTCTTTTCTTACCCATTCTGCCTAACATAACCTTTATTTCAATACCATATTCATACTGGGCAACCTGTATAAATCAGAAACTGCTATACTAAACATAAAACCTGGGTTCACAGTTGAATGGTTACTGCTTCTTTTTAATCAGGAGGTTCTGAGTTTAGTTCTTTCCTTGGAGGCCTGTTTTTCTGACTGAAACTTTTACAGGTTTCTGCAATCTCTCTAGATTAATTATAATTCCACAGTCAAAGTCAACATTTGGCACCATATACCCTGTGCAAGTGAGAAAATGTTGTTAAACTAGAAACAAATAAAATCTGGGTTTCTTCCACATAATGTTTTGATCCAGTTGCATTATTAATTCAGATATTAGGTTAAGTGTCGGGTAAAGTATATTTTGTTTCCAAAAGTAAATTTGTTTTGCAGATTCATGATGCATTTGACTGGCGTCCTTCTGTTACTCCTAGTGTGCTCAATGGTGACAAACGCAGATTCTGTGTGTAACCATTGCATGTGTTTCCAAACAACAGTGAATTGCACTGCACGCAATCTCCAACGCCACTTCAATGATTCAGATTGGCCCAGTAACATGGCTGTTACTGATATGATGTTTGACAACAACCAGGTGGTCCATGTGACACAATATCCAGCGTTGTCAGTGCTTCGCCTGTCACTTAGTCACAATAAAATTGTTCGGATTGACAAAGCGGCTTTCTTAAATCTCCAGAATCTGACAGAACTTGATTTGAGTCACAACCTTATAACTTCAGATAATCTATTTGCAGATGTGTTCCAGGTAAAGTAGCCTGCATGCTTGTTGGGGTGGATCTAAGTGCCTATCAATAAAACTTGAAAGTTTAATTCTGCTAGTAACAAAGCTTCCCACTGAACTTAATCATGAGACAGTTCAGTCCAGTCCACTTCACATTTCCACTTTGGTCTTCAAAGAGGTATTTGAATCAAAATTTCATGTTTTGCTACAAACGATAGTAACTGCAGAAAGACCCATCTGATATTATATTATAAAATCAAAGCAGAAGATCAAAGAGATGCTTAAAAAATTATTTTTGGGGTCATTCTTAAATTAAATTACCTAATATATGAAAACAAGTCTAAAAGGAATTGTATTATGAAATTTCTACTGACTTGGCATATATTTAATGGTAAATATTTGAGTTTTTATGTTCTGTTTTCTACATTTATTTTAGGGAATGTTTTCTGAAATAGAATACCAACCACTTACTAACTTGCATACTTTGAGACTTGGCAGCAATGCTATCCACACACTGAAGTCAGATCTGTTTGAGCACACAGCAAACTTGAGGACTCTTACTCTGGACTCGAACCCCTTCCATGTTATAGACCAAGAGACAATAATGGCTCTTAGCAGTTTGACATTCCTTGAGGTAAGTTCACACTTCATCATGAGTAAACCTTGGGCATGTTCTGTCTCAAAGTACATCACCTTTCTCTTCCACTGCTCCTTAATTTTTATTTCGTTATATTTCTGTGTAGTGTATATGAATATCTATTTTTAGTCTCTCCAGATGCTGTGTAGAATCTTGTGCATATTCTTTGCATTCCTTGTAAGGAAAAATAAGCTTATGGTATTATCATATAGGTGTATGTGTCTGCCTTTATAACTTTAAAAAAAGTTGAAGGATTGTTGTGAATGTTGGCCTAAGCATTATGTTACTAGAGCCCACCCTTATGCCTTTAATTCCCCATCATCACATGGTAGCTGTTCAGATTCTGGATGTAGGAATATGTTAGTGCCATTTAATGTAGAATCTAGAACGTTTGTATGGTGATAGATAAGTCATCACTAGACTCTTATCTTGAGGCAGGTGACTCCAATCCACACTTTTCCCCCCTGTCTTAATACTGTCCTGCCATATATGCCTAGGTCTTGCAAGTGGTCTTTTTGCTTCAGAACCAGAATTTTGTATGCATATTTCATATCTCCTATCCATGCACCTCTCTCACTTCAAATGGGCCATGCTTATGCCAAAATTATAATTGCATTAAAATATATCTTACAAAAATTAGTTGCAGTGATGCTACTTTGATTTAGCTGACTCGGGTAAGTATGAAGGGAGGTTAAATGATTATTTTGATTAATCTGTAAGTTCTGTTATGTCTGTATGTGCAGGTTTTGGACCTCTCTTATACAGGGCTGAAGGACCTTCCTGAATATTTACTGCATACCCCAAAATACCTGAAGGTCCTTAATTTGACAGGAAACCTGATGACTAAAGTGCCAGCTGCACTTGAGCACAGTCATGCCCTAGAAGTGCTTCACTTTTGCGAGAACCCAGTTGTTGTGCTCGACCATTCCAGGTATGTAATTCTTCCAGATATGATGCTCTTTTAAAACTTTTGGCCACCTTATAAAGGTAAAATATGATCAAAACCTTTTGCTATTTCCAATGCTGGGATTGAATTTTGCTGTGTAGTGATTGACACAGTAATGTGATCAGTATGAACTAACTCCACTGAACAAAGTCCTTCAAAAGTGAATAATTGCTTAACCAGGCAAGAAATTCCCTGTCTTTTATGGAACCCTGAAGTCCATTACCATGTTCACAAGAAATCGGTATTGGATCTTATCCAGAGTCAGATGAGTTCAGTCAACGAACTTCCTTAAGATCCACTTTTTGATGCACAGAAATGGATCATTAAATTACTTACTTATCAATTTATAGCTCTTGATTGCCTTGCCATTTACATAGATTGAAGAATTTGAAGCTAGTGTATGAAAACTTTCTGTAGATTTTATCAGTCATCAGTTTACTTATGTAACTCAATTTAACTGCAGTTTTAAGTCAGAGATGCTTTATCTGCGTGAGCTGCACATGTCAAACATGGAGAGCCTGATCTTCATAGCGTCTGGAGCTATGTCAAAGCTTACATCCCTTCAGGAACTGTACCTCAGTCACAACCCTCGCCTGTCATCCATCGATCCTGATGCCTTCACTTTACGCAGGGAAGGTGAAGAGTCAGAGACATGGCCACCCATCATAAAGGTGAGTGTCATGCAGTATTTCCTCATATGCTGATTTTTTTATTAAGTCGATGAATGCATCTTTTTCCAGATACTGTGACTCCTTGCTGTTTATTCTGTCAGAAGCTTTTCTGTAATCAATTCTATATTATCACTGCCATTGCCAAATGTCACAATTGAATAGTAAACATTTAGGTTCTGATCTTGGGCTGGAGACCAGTTTTCCTGGCCAAGGATTTTGTTCCTCAAGACAAATGATGGGATAGTTACTTAAATTAGGCCACAACCACCTCCTTCAACAGTCTTTCCAGTTCATTATGTACTATCCATATAATGTGATGTTATTTAATCTAAGCAATTGTAAACATCATTAATAAATCAATAGTAAGTAGTTATCATTGTCATAATCTGTTGACGTTTTCCCCAGTGTATGATCAAGCCACCTCCATTGTCTCTCCTCTCATAAATGTTCCTCTGGTATCTATGTCTACTCCTCCCCTATTCCTTTTTGTGTATTTTCCCAACTTAATATCTCCCATTATCTTCTCAATGGTTATTTATTTATTGTCTTCATGTTTGGCATGTTCATAATGGAATGTTTGAAAAATTGTGCCTGTTAGCTTTATCATCCCTTTCTGTCTCTCTTTTCACCTGTCAGTTCACATACATCAATGTAAGAACCACTGAACATGTCTTTAAAATTTGAAATTTGGAAGTTTTAACAAAATTTTATCAAATTCCAAATTTGGTTGACATCATTTAACAATAATGAACATTTCACATGAAGACCTTCATGCATTTCTGTGCACATCCTGAACATAACTAAGTTTTTATTGAGTGCAAATTGTTTTGAACAAAATTGTAGATAAATATGGTAATAAAACAAAAGGACTGATTTTGATTATATGTTATGCTGGAGGTCCTGGCTTATCTGCTCCACCTACTTCAAGTTATTTATAAGAGAAGAAATTTTGGCATTTATGAATTGAAAATGTATAGGCAATAACAAATCAAACATATTAGAATTGCTACACCATGCATACATATCTTGTTTAAATACCCAGAGTAGTTTTGTTGTTGTTGAACAATCTAAATAAGTGATGCTTCTGCCTGCAGTTGGACCTGGGTCACAACAACTTGGGGACCATAGACAGGCATTTATTGGGGCATTGGGACATACTGCAGTATCTCATCCTAGCTGGAAATCCTTGGATATGTGACTGTGAAAACCAATGGATGGTCAGTACATTGCTGCCATCAGTTGAGAACATTATCCAAAATCAGATGAACAGTTTGGAGTAAGTATGTAGTATGCATAAGCTGCTTGAAGAAGTTTACATAATGCTTTTAAAAGGATAATTTTAGATTCTCTTAGATTGTTAAGTACCAAATCTGTTCTATAGATTGGGGTAGCATTTATCCCACTCATTTATTTATTGCTTCTTGATCAATTGGTGATTTGATTGACCTAGCTACAATCATTATCTCTGTCAGCACATTACACACTTTATAGATAAACTTGAAAATAAAACTTTAACTTAATGTGTATTATAATAGTAAACAGTATTTTTTCCACACCAGATATATTATGGTTATACCACCATGGTAGTCTTTTGTAATTACTTACTGGTATTTCCTCATATAAACTACAATGCTACCATTGCTGTGATTTGAAAAAAATATGCATGTTGTGAATTTAAATTTGGCTTTAAAGATGGCAAATTGTTTTATTGCATATTGTACTGTTTTAAATCCAATAGAGTAAAATTCTTCTAGGCTTGAACCTTATATCATAAATATATATAAGAGACAATTAGATAAGTTCCAATGCATGAAGTAGAGTTCTCTGGAGATATACAAAACCCATGGCTAAAATATTAATCTTGTGACAGGTGTGTGGAGCCAGAGGAAATGAGAGGCAGGAAGCTTCATGAGCTGGAAGTCCTTAACTACCACATGCGATGTCTGGATTCTGCTGGGAACCACCCTGAGAAAGATGCAAAGCTACTTATTGGGATTCTGGTAGGAGTACTACTTGCCGTGCCTATTACCATGGCAGCTATACTGGTCTTCCGTAACAGTCGCTTTGGGTCACGCTTCTTCTCCCGTGGACCTGCTGACTACTCACGGGCATTCTACAGCCGTGCAGACTCTGGAGAAAATTGAGTGATGTAATTAAGAGTTTAAGTTCTAAGTATTTTGTTAAACTTGAAACAGATCACACATAAATCATAACTATACAAATTAATCCATTTAATTACCTCCTGACCCAAGTCAGACTATAACCTAAGGTTTTACTCTACTGTTTTATTAAAAACTATTTGTTTTTGTATTATTTCTTGTTAAATCCAGTAACCCAGACACTGGAGTTTGTACGTAAAGGGAACGCTTCCCCTCATGTATCATACTATCTGAGCATGAAGTTACTTATGTATTGCAGTTTCCAATTTTAATATGTAATGATATTATATCATTTGAAGATGACAAAATATTTGCAACAATATGTTGTGGACATTGGATAATAAGATATGATAATCGCTTATGTTAAAAATTTGCAATGTTGGTTAACTCTCCAACAGATATCACTAGCAGAGAAGAAGGAAAACAAATGCTTTCCAGGGCTAAGGCTGGGTGCAGCAATTCACACTGGTGCATTTGTTAACATGACTAAATAGCACTGAAGCAAAGTCTGATAATTCATACCCCTAATACCAAAGTCTGCAATAGGAAACAATCCAGAGCCAGTTCCATTCACCTCCCACCACAACAAATCATGGTTCCATCTTAATATTTTCTTCCATTTATATATAATCCAAATGGACATTTTCCTAAAGGTTTCCCAGCCTTGTGAGACAGTGAAGTATTAACACATTTTTCATTCTTCATCAGTCATTCATCATGGCTTATGTGTGGTCCAGCTCACTGTGTTTCACAGTAGCATATTGTTAAACCCTGGAGTTGAATTCCAACCAGTAGCTCTATAGTACACGAGGAGGATGTGAGGACGATGGGAGTGAGGGGATGGAGAAGAATTGTGAATGATAGGACAGAATGGAAAAAACTCGTCGAACAAGCCAAGACCCACATAGGGTTATAACGCTACAAGAAGAAGAAGAAGCTCTATAGTACAGTGATATAATTACCTCTTCTTGTACAATAAAGGTTAACAAGTAGCATATAATGGTGAATGATGTAGAGCCCACTACAAAACTAATGTTCTATAAGCCTGAATAGCAAATAGGTGTTAAGAAACCAAAAATAAGGTGGTCTGATGGTATTGAGAAGTCTGGAAATTAAATGCAATGGGTAGGCAGTGGAGAAAATATGGAGAGGGCTGTGACTGAAGGGGCCATGTCTGAAACAAGGCTGTAGCACCAGGAAGAACAAGAAGAATAGAAGAGAGTGTTTTATGATAGAATTGCTTTAGAAATATGAGGTACATATGAAAATACAAATGGAACTGCTGATGCAAGATACAACACTCCAACACTTTCTCTTCAACAATTTTCACTTTCTGTGAATGCGGTAGGTTCTGCTAGGCATGTCATCATTCATTCTGGCCAATACTTCAAAGCTATATTTTTTATTAAATGTAACTTATACACATGTTAAGAAATAGTAGTACTATCCAGAATATTTTATTTGCAACATAGTGTGGCAATTCTTACTAAGCATTTGTCACTCTGGCTTGGCAACAACGTATCTGGTTCCTGAAGGTAAGTTTAGTACATAACACAGCCCCAATATCATATAATTAGGGAGTTTCCGAACTGATGGCTATGATGACATTAGAGATGATTACAGTGGTGATGTTGGCTCAGCCCCTGGCCATATGAATTTAGTACCAAGACCAGTCTTAAACAATATTCACTGTAGATCCAACTTTCCTGGGGTTGACTCTATTTTTCTGTGAATATTTCCCCTTAAGAAACAAGTGCTGCTTATGAATGTGACAAGTTTATGTGTAACTGTAGCTAAACTAATCCCATGGAGTAGGGTCTTCTGTGAGAAGTTGATAGTTACTCTGCTTTCATACAACTCTAAGGTTTACTACCATGTTCACAAACACCAACCATTGGATTGTATCCTGAATCAAGTGAATCTATTCCATATTTTTACACCCTAATTTTTAACATTTTTTAAAAATATTACCATCTGTAAAATACATATTGAAGAAATAGGTGTAGGGATGGTGACTGGTTTTACGTAGCTCCACATAGGTTCCGGTAGTAGGTTCTTGTGAACGTGATAATGATTTAGAATTTTATAAAGGATCAAAAATCTGACTAAAGAGTGACTGCCAGCTTCTCGAGGAGAAATCTTTGCCATGGAGTTAAGTCATCTATTTTATAATCAATTATTGAATAGTTATCTTCTACTATTAATGTCTAGGTCCCATGAGATTATGTAGCCAACAAACTGTATTGAATAAGCAGTCGCAGACAGCTGGCAAGGGGTGGTCCTTCAGTTTATAGTTTGGTTTTAGGGCTAACAATCTGTTGAAAATTGGCTTATTATGAAATACCAGAAATGTTAAGTTTGTTGAATCAGGATAACTGGTTTCCCATCTCATCTATTCTTAATTTATTTAGCATTGCTGTTTCAAGTGCAGGGGTTACCTTTTAGCATCATTCCCATTTTATACATGTTGATGTGATGCGTTATGTCCACTGAGATGGTAAGTTAGTAATAAATGATGAGAAAAGGTTTGGAAGAAGATGATTGTGACCTGTTTCAAGGTTCTCTCCTGGTATTTGTTCCAAGAGGCTGGAAAAACAATGTAAAATCCTCAGGTTAGACAGTACATAGGTTGAATGTGAACGAAGTGTCTCCTGAATTAAAATCTAAAACAGGACTTTTACTAACTGGCTTGGATGTAAATGTGATTCAGGAGTGTAAGTGCTTACCTAACATGCTCTATTATTTTATTTAAATTGCTTTTTTTTCAGTGATACAGCAGCTTTATATGGTATAAAATATCTGCCATAGGTGGTTACATCAGCATGAGGCATGGAACATGTACTATAAACCATAACTTACATATTTAGTTAATAATAATACATTTTTTAAGAAGATTAAGTTAAAATTATATAATATAAGAATACCTAAAACAAAGAAAAATTATAATACCACAAACTTGTCAAAGTAACAAAAGTGTTAACAAATTTTGACATAATTTTAAATATACAGTCATTTTAACATAGTTGCATTATTATCAATTATGCTTGATGTTTTGTGTTAGAAAATAGTTTTCTGACTGAAAAGAATAGTATACATATACAGAGTGAGCACAAAAGAATTTAACGCCTTCAAAATTATACAAGAAAGAAATGTGGCATATTTAGAACTTTACATCCCAGTATTTGATAGAAAAACTCAAAATTTTGTTTCAAAAGACCCAGGTGTTTGTTAATGTTGTGTGCCTCTACTAGATGCCACTAATTTTGAGAATAACTACTTCACAACAGAGGAGTTGGTGTGTTCTGCAGTTAGTGAAGAAAGTCTGTAACAGCTGTGCATTTTGCACACAATTTCAAATGGAACCACCCAGCCTGGTATAAGAAATTTGAATTTAAACTGCCATATCTTCCATCAATAGGGACACTGCTCAAGGTTTAGGAAAAGTGGGTTATTGTCTTGACATCTGCCATGTGGCTCACGGAGCACATATTAAGTCTCTGTGAGGTGTGTACAAAACTTTGAGAGTTTTTTAATTGACCAGTATAGGTGTAGAGTTCTAAGTATGCCACATTTGTTTTCTGTATCATTTTGAAAGTGTAAAGTTCTTTTGTACTCATTCTGTGTAATTCTGTGATGTTTCTTGTTGTAGACATGTTTGCAGTAAGAATGCAATGAAGTTGAAAAATGAACCAAAGTATATCATAGTTTGATTAGGTAATGTACTTATATCTTTTGATTATGTTCCCTGTAATCTTATCAGTATGCTTAGTTAAACACTAATGCTATGAGCAGTGTGGTGACTTACAGCTTATCTTATCATTTCAGCTTATACGATTCTTTCGCTGTCATGTGTGAATGAAACAGAATAAGTTGTACTATATACTCTAAATTTAAATAATATGAAGGTAGGTGGAAGTCAATTTCAAAATAACTAATTTCTTGGTATAGCATATTCCTCCATTGGACTGTAAATTGAGCCAGTTGATTCAGGCTACACCTCACACTCTTGAGTATTTATTTTAATATTATCCACAAATATTTCTCAGGTCTCTAGTTTAACCATAAATAATGTTCTGTATTATTTCAAATATGTATTTTCTTTTGTATGCTTAGCCATTTTTTGTTAATGCTTGATTTGAGCTTCATATAAGTTAAACCTTATGAACCTAAATAAAATTTGTGTGACTAGTTTTATGTTAGTCCCAATACCAAATGCTACCAAAACCATTAGTATGGTTAGGATATGAAACATAGGAACAAACATAGTTACCTTTCCCATAATGTGTTTATTTTATGAACTTTGTGAAAATAAATGAGCATGGAAACTTCTTATTTCCTCTTGATATGTGGATACATTATTGGTTATTTAAACCTGGATATAATAATAAATTCATTCTCAGGTGTTGATGCTACTGGTTTTCCCACTCCTGTTGGCTGTCAGTTATGGTAATGTCAAGTTGTGCCTGAAGTGCATTTGTTACAAAAAAGCACTAATCCAGCCACTGTACACAGTTGGCTGTTCTCATCTTGGCCTTCAAGACACATTCCCTAATTTAGAGCAGTGGCCGGAATATGGCCAGCAGGAAGAGACCCGGATGGCTGTGAACTTTGACTGGAATGACATCCAACACCTAAAGAAATTCCCACATATTCCAGGAATTGTGAGCCTCTCTCTGCAACACAACAAGATAACTAAAATTGCAGGGAATGCTTTTGTTGAGTTGGATAACCTGAAAGTACTGGACCTTAGCTACAATCAACTTACAGGTAATCTTAAAACCTTACATATCGTGCAGTGTTGAATATTTATCTAAAATATATAAAATCATGCATACAAACAAAACTGTTTACACTTTGAAAAACACTTAGTGCTAAACGTGTTTCGACCTCAATTGTATTACATCTGATGGAAGGAAATTGTGCTACATAATGAATGTTAAGTCTGATGAAGAATTTCTTTCTTGTACATTTCTTTATTTTTCTTTCTCTGTTTTGTTAGTTTTTCTTTGAATCCCTTTATTTTTGTTTCTGTGTTGGTCCCTTTAATATACTGACATTCCTGAATAACCTATATAGTTGATACGAGTTTGAATTCAGTAGTCAGTTATGAGATATGTATGAATGATGAATGAACAGGTTTGCAATTATAGTCATAGCCTGTTTTAAGGTACTGTTTTGCCATTTATCTGGAAGAACTTAGGAAAGACACTTAAAGGTTCAAGTAGATTAGTTGGTCTATGACCAGGTTTTGAACTAAGAGACATGTTACCTTTTGAGCTAACCAATTTGTCAGAAGAAACTTAATGGCATAAAGGTTCAGTCAGATACATAAGATGGAACTCAATTGGAATTTGTGTTTAGAAAGTTAATCAGTTGTGTTAATGAATAATAATGTTTATTTATAAAGCGGAAGGAGTACAAGCTGATGTTTTTCGAGGCCGATATTCACCACAGCGCTATGATCCGCTCGGCATTGTTGTCTTGAATCTTGGAAGCAACCATATCCATACTTTAAGCCCATACTCTTTTGAACATCTGCCTAACTTGACAGAACTAAGGCTCAGTTATAATCCACTGAAGGTTCTCAGTCCTTCTACACTCATGTCTCTAGGATCACCTGATAGACTTCAGGTCAGTAAACTAAAAGTCAAACATACATATTTACTTATTTAATATAATGGTATTGCAAAAAAATTGTCCCAGTTGTTTTTTCTTTCCCTTTCTGCATTCTTCAGATTATTGCTCATATGGTTTGGTCTCTGCACTGGGCAGGTTTCTCTTTGACTATTGTTTTCATCTTCTGATCATTATCATCTTCACAATGATCCTTACTCTTCTGTCATCACCCTCATTATCATGGGCTGGTACAGCACTCCCATTATACAGTTCAGTACCAGTAACTCTTGTCATGCCCCACTCCTATGATGCTTATGGCTCTATCTTCTCCATTTACCCAGGATCATTTGTCAGTTTGTATTTAATTATATTTCAGATACTGGATCTGTCATACACTGGACTGTCTGATCTGCCAGAGGCATTTGTACAGCTCACCTCTTTGAGACATAAGCTGCAGGTTCTGTATCTGAATGGCAACCAATTCCTTCGTGTGCCACAGACACTAGCGGCATTAGGTGAGAAACAGTGCTTGCATCTGACTAGCTGAAAAATAAAACTTGATTTATGTGTATATTTGCAGTTTGCTTGCTTTACAATCAGTACTTCTCTGAGGTTTCATGTTCCAAAATTCTTGAACAAAATATATTTAATAAAAGTTCTATTTGTTTTGTACCATTGTGAAGTATGTATTACCTCTTAGTTTTTGGGAAGAACATAAATTACAAGTGTTTGAAATATTTGTACATAAGAGGAATGAAATGGCAGTTGAGGATGTTACATATCACGGCACTTTGTAGTTTATACTGGTCATCTATTATTATTATAAGGATGGTGGAGTTACAATAAAATGGGCATGTAACTAGCATGAGAAAGACAAATTCATTCAGAATTATGATGTGTACCTGGTAAAAGGTGGTCATTTTGTAGACCAAGAAGAGACTGAGAGAATCACATTAATTTGTTGATTATGGTCTTCTGAGTTGTGACACCATGTTCTAATCATATTACACAGCATTACAGTCATCATCTTCACTGCCGTCGGAATCTCATATCTGACACATTGAGATGAATCTCGGTGCTCTAACTGGGTGGAAACTGTTCAGAATCATGTCCAGCGGCAGGTTTAAATATTGAGTTGAACAGGTTCTGTTACCAGAGAGTTAATTTAGAATATTTGTAATAAAGTTATGACTACATTTGCCATGCAATTTGAGACGCATATATTTGGTTACTTAGGAAGTCGGATCATAAATTTTAATCATACTTGCAGCATGTGTGTTAATCTGCGTTGTCACATGAACTGGCATAGCCTGCTGGAAAGTGGTCGACTATGATAGGGTATTATTCTTAGTTGGGATAAGATTCTACTTTTCCTCATTATATTCAGATGTGGTAATGAAACTAAGAGAACATCAAATCTGGGAAATGCTTTTTATTTTTTGGTTCAGAATTTTTATCCGCTTATGTCCTACTTAGGAATGTAAATAATAAATCGTACAGAACTGTAAAGGTATGTATTGTTTTCTGTAAGTGTGAAACTTGCTGTTATGTTGAAGAATGCATGGGGAAGATGAGGAATACACACAAATGTTTTGGAAAACATCAAGGGAAGAGATCACATCAGATACATGGCTGTAGATGCTAGGACAATATTAGTCCCTTGCCTCACTTACTAGAATATAATAACAATAAAGTCCCACTGCCATGTATAACAGAGTTAAATGTAATATGAGCTGTTTAATTTAATTTAATTGAAAGAAACACATCACAGGGCTAAAAAGTCACTGTTTCCAAACCATACAATGTTAATGTTTAATTTATTCAAGCTGGGATAAGATTCATTGTACAGACTAACAAGTTGGCATGCTGAAATTTGTACAACTGATCACAGGTGACTCACTGCAAAAATTGAATCTCAATGACAATCCAATTCTGGAACTGGAGGAAGACTCATACCGTGGTCTCTTGTCACTGCGAGAACTCAATATGAGTGCCATGTCTCATCTTAGGAGAATTGGACCGTCAACATTCGCACATCTGAGAAGTTTAGAAATTCTCTACTGTTCATACAACCACAATTTAACAGAACTGGATGAAGAGGCATTTGGATATGGAGACAATCCATGGACCCTAAGAGAGGTATAGATTTTAGCCCATTTATGACAACATGTTCATGTGTCTGCCTCCTAATAAAATTTAAACTAACAGATTTAACAAAATTTGATATCAAGATCATTCCACTGGAGGCTACTCCATCCTTGTTCTTTTTAATTTCCTGCCACCTCCCAGGTTTGAATGACACTATTATCACTTATTTTAGTGCAGATTATTGTACAGAAATAGATTCTTGAAAAATATATCACTTCTGTTGAAAATTCTTTTTGTAGAACATTAAGTGATAGCATAAAAACCCTGTGAAATCTAAATATAGTTAGAAGACCTCATGGGAACAGAGAATTTGGAATATCGAAGCATAGACAAGAGTTCATTAAGCAGTATAAAATAGAAATGATGAAGAAGATAATAGTTATGCACTTCTGAACTGATTACATTTTTTGATATTAGAATAGTGACAGGCTTTTGTGATGATGCTTACGGCTCTTTATGATCTGTAAGAAGGAATTGTTTAATATACTGAGTAACTTTCATCTGTTCAAGGAAGGTCTGAAGTATTTAATGTGCTGTGAACATTGTTGCCACTACATGCTTGTTCTGTAGCTGTACCTGAGAAGCAATGCCCTGCACACCCTACCAGTACATCTGGCTCCATGGAAGAATCTTGCTGTTGTGGATGTACAGGACAATCCATGGTGCTGTGACTGCAACTTGAACTGGTTCATCAATGAACTTGTGCCCCTCTTGGCAGACATAACTCCTGATCTTGTGCTGGGATTGCAGTAAGTACAGACTCTTTGTGTATCTTGTTACAGTCTATCTTCTATAGTTCAATTATTTTATAAAGAAATATGTACCCCTATGTCTTGTCTTTCTAATAATTTTTAACAAACTGACAGAACTTTGTGGAATGTGCCATTTCAGTCTACCCTCATCTTTTTGCATTATAATTTCCTATCATCAGTAGCATTGCAGCAGTGAGAACTGACGAGGTGAGTCAGAACTAACACTATGGAATGTAGGATCCTGAATTTTTGTGCAGTGCTAGGTCTTTGAAACACACACAGCTTCTGTTAAGGTATTTACTTCTTTTAAGAATGTAAAACAATGATATGGCAACTGCCTGAAATTTGTATTTTGCAATTTGATATCAGTATTTAATTGGATATTTGAAAGTGTATATGAAGACGGATGCCTAAAAATGTTGTAGGACATTTTTTAATTGTTAACATGTACAAATATGGCAGTGGTGCAGTAATTTTAGTTTATACATCTCATTGTTTTTACTTTTCACATCATAAAAGTAAAAAATAAAGCTGTCCCAATATATGCCATGTAGGCACTTGTTGGGAGAGAGTTGCTGGTTTGAAGAAGCTTCTGTGAAAGGAACAGTTATAAACATGGGCCATCAAAAGTGTGATCAAATCTCCTGTATTCAACCTACTATCTAGCTCTAAACCTCTAAATTTTCATTGCACTGCATTTTCACAGATATCAAATGGGTGTTTCACATAAAAGATTCCCAAAATTGCATTTGTCTGTTGTTTTCTACACTGCCAGTTTTACCACTTGGTAAAATAGGTGGTCGCCTGGGGCAACAAAATTGGTAGGAGGCAGCACAAGAAATTAAATTACTAGAGAAATAATGTATTCATGTTTTTGGCCTTGTGATATGCGGCCAGCAGTACTTGATTGATGGATTGACTGTCACCAGTTGGCACATTTCCAGACATTGCCTCACAAATGGGGCACCTTTAGTCATCATCAACAATTGCATGACAGAACTTACACTAATAGGTTCTGTTTCACTTTTGTTCAGTTATCTGTTTTCTTTGGAGGTTACACCTACAAACATTAATTGGTAAGTGAATTTATCATGTGTTAAAACAGAAGTTATAGTTAAAAAGAATTGGAAATGTGCATCAATTTACAGATTTACATGATCTGTTGTCCCATTGTGATTAACATTCTAAGATAAAACTGCATTGTAGTATTGTGCATACTAATGCACTAATATTCATTTTTGGAAGTTAATTTGTTGGGGAAGGGGGGGAAAGGCTGAAGGTTTGCCTAGGGTGCCAAATACCCTTGTGCCAGCCCTGGTTTTCTAGCATTATTGTAATGAAATATATGAGGTATATGTTCTTAATTAGATATCCCTATTTCCAGCTGCTCAGAGCCATTGCAGTTGAGTGGTATGAGTTTCCTGAGCCTCAGAAACCCAGCTAACTCATCATTACTTTGTGGTGATATGATCACTTCAACATCAAAGACTGTGTGGGACCACTCAGTACAACTATACTCTGCATTTCAGGCAGTCATAATTGTGCTACTTGTCGCTGCTGCTGGTTTGGCTATCCTGTACTATTTACAGCTTAGAAGGAATGCAATGCACAGTATTCAGACACAATTCAGTAACATACGTTACATGAAGGCAAAGACAGAAACATGAGCCATGTTCGCATTTTATAATGACTGTTACAGTAGTAATAAAAATGTTAGAATGATAGGCAGGTAGTTTGTATTAACTCCTAGTACAGTGTCAATGTGGATTTGGCATCATATTTCATTCTACTGCATTAACACTTAGTTGTAATGACATTTTTGCTCTTATGTGGGACTCCTGCTACATGCCATCTGTCACTTGTAATTTTTTATGAAATATCCTGCCAAGCTAATGTGGGATTTATGGTAAGTAAATCTGCAAGGAAAATGTCAGATGTGTAACTTTTAAAGGATTGTATGAATATTTTCCTACCTGTGATTTTTCCCCCAGTGTCATGAGATTCTATTGTTACAGTTGATTGTATTTTTAGTTCTCTATAATATTATTTTTGTAAATTATTTTGTGTGGTTAGAAATTATTAAATTATCTATGATATATTTTATAAATTTGGTCACAATATGCTTGTTTACTTGTAGGAAGGAATGAGAGAGAAACAAACAGTCCTGTTTTCCAGGAGAAAGAAATATGACTTCTGGAATTTTAACATTAACTGTTCCATTCCAAGAGAGTTTCATGGATCATCTCTTCCACCATCCTTGTTGATGATACTGTAACACCACTCGGAGTCTTCCCTTATCTCCGAATGCTGTATCTGTCAGCAGCAACCATACTGACTCACCTGTCATGTCTCATGATAAATGAATCAGTATAATTGCATTTTAGTTTTCAAGATATAATTATAATTGCAAATATTTACCAAAGATGAAGGTTTGGTACTGAGGAGGGCACCAAGGTCAGTTTTGGCATGGTTGCCACGACAGTAATCCCTACCCTCACCAGGATTAAAACCTGGTCATGAAACCAGTAGCCTGTCACTAAAAAGAATGAGTTACCTCAGGTCATTATAATCAGATATGACTGTCTTACTAAATATCCTTTTCTTTCAAGAGAAAAAGCTAGAGATAAGTCCACTGATATTACATAACTCATTATTTATTTTATTACATACCACATAATATCCACACTCTTTTTAAATTTCAGTCACTTTTACAAACATCATTAAATGACAAATTTATGATGAGTGCAGTTTAAGAATACAGAATTTCAAACATGGTGAAATAACATCCATGCAAGTATTAATAATACATTTTCAAAAAAATTGTTTTACTGTATAAACCTTGCTTCTTTTCCTTTGTTGTTCATAGGTATACAGATTCATAGTAATTTCTTCCTTCCTGAAAATTACTTTTGAGTTGTTGTTTTTTTACTTATAAGATTGATGTATAATACATGACAAATAATAGCTACTATAAATGTAGATTAGACAGAAGAGAACAAATAAAAGCTATTTTTTAGGCAGCATGAGTATCTTATATATGTTTTAACATGAGAACAAACCTAGTATCCTGTAAGGGTGACTGTTGATGGATAGTATGAGCGAATTTTCTGGCATCGATCACGGTCTATTTGTAAGGTCTTTCTCTTTACAATAATTTCTTGTTCTAAGTCAGCACGCATTGTTACCAGACCACAGAGTGACTCCTCAGCCTGCTGCAGCTGGCCCTTCAGTGCCGACACATTCTTGCTTATTGACTTTACCTCATCCACCAACCTGCAACAGCATGCAGGTGTGTATGTGTCCTTCCTGCATTCTAAGTGCTCCTGCTCAGAGAATCACAGTATTACTGATATGGTAGTATAAAACATGTATTTTGTACATACTCATATTGTGGGATATCTCTGCAGTTTTCTTGCCGTGGTCGCAACATGCGGTTGTCCAACCGTGTCTGAGCAATCTTCATGGCAGGATCTTGGTTTATAATGGCTTGCTTCAAGTCTTTTATCAATTTTTCAGTGTCAGCTATGCATTTTAATGTCTGTAAAAATGTAGTTAAATAAGGAAATAGCTATGTTCTGAGTTATTGCACCATGTAGTGTGGTAGATGTTGACTGACATTTCAGAGAAACGTACTACCTCCATTATCAAGGTGATCACACCCATCACAGTGAAAACCTGAAATCTTATGTACTTAAGTTTGTTTATGTTTAATGTTTGCTGCATGAACTGTATAAAGTTAACTCATAATGAAGAGGCAATAGTATTGTTATTTGTATGTGTAAGGTACTCTATATACTCTATATAGTCCAATATGTAGTATGAAAACCATATAAAAATAAATTTATATTAAGGTTATTGCAATATACAAAATTCAGAAAATAATAATGGACAGCTGATCCCTATCTGTATGCATTCAGTTTATGAACACTGTACAAGTAATGTACAATAAATAACCTATGAGCCAACCTGCCTGCTGTGCCGTACCTTCAGCAATTCATTCTCCAGTCGCTGTCTGGCCTCGTCAGTCTCTGCAATTCTCATTGCTAGTGCTGTGTCAACACAATCAGCTTGCATGCATAGGTCACGCGACATGTCAGACATAAAGCTGTCCAGGAAGTGTCGTAGCTCAGTTGAACGTTTACATTCTTCTTCCAACTGATTTAAGTTTTCTCTCGTGTAGTGCTCCCAACTTTCAGGAGTTGACTGTCTGTATCCATGAATAAAGAAATAGTAGCCACACACCTCTGACTAATTCTGACATAGATATTGTCAAAAATCTTACAACCTGCACAATATTTATAGGCTATATTATCAAGTGATTGTTAGCCAACTTTCCTCCATTTAATAAGAAAAGATGGACTTACGGTATCAACGCATCCATAAGTCTTCAACCAAGTGACAAATTTTCATGGAACTTCAGATGAATATCTTTCTAATTTCTAATGTTCAGTAATATGAAACTTGACAGCTGTGCAGTCTTCTGAGGTGGGAACAATACTACTATCACTCAATGTATGGTATTGAAATTTTGTGGTAATAGATTTTTTAAAAGAATGAGACTTTTGTTCAATATCGTGCTTTAGAATGTAAAACACTGTGATGGCTACATACATGTATTTAACTTTTCGTTTAATTTTTGTAACTAGTGAATCACTGAACATATCTATAAATGTTATAAGAAAGATCTTGGTGGTAATAGTGCCAGACTTTGAAAATATACATGACAAATTTATTATAGAATCTGTACTAGTGGAAATTATACCCAGAAATGAATAACCTAAATCATATAAATATTAATTTATAATTATTGTTACTTGTCCAAAGGGAGACATCCGGGAAGACCTATGAAGAAATGGAGCCAGAATAGGCAGCTGCCTAAACCTTGACCGAGGATGAAGATGATGATGTTACTTGTTAGCCTTACTGTACAGACTGAAGCTTTTGATGGAAAGGAGATATCGTAAGTTGTTCCAATAAATTTCTTGTTTAATGTCTGTTCACTAAGATGAGACAGTATATGTAAACACAGAAGAGTGTTAGATCCATCACACGATCACTTGTTATGCAAGTTCCTTTAGGCATCTTAACCCTCAGATCATGTGGCTGATGCTAAAGCACCTATAGGAACCTACATAACAAGGGATCTCATTATATTTACACACTGTTCTATGTTTACATCCACTGTCTAATCATGGTGAATCAATAGTAATAACAGATATGAAAGTTTCTTTCTTTCTTTTTCTGTTTTGTGAAACACACATGCGAGTTTTCTGATAATAACTGCATAAGGATGAGCATAATAATTTTTCTTTTCATTATATACTCTAACAGTGACTAAAGTAAGGACTGTGAGATTGGCAGGAACATATAGCATGCATGGGAGCTGAGAAATGCATTCAAAACCCAAGTCTGGAAAACTGAAGGGAAAGACTGCTTGGAATATTAAGATGTTCTATCCTGTGTTATTGGTATGGCTGTGTGCCTGCACAGATGGGTCCTATGTTTGAAGGACAAATCAATTCTCTGCTCAGACAGACAGTATAGAGTGCAGTGGTGGGCTGTTGAGCACAGTAAAGAACTTTTAGGTTTCATAAAATGTAGGGAATTTATTGAGCAACTATTAGCTTCTCAAGAAGAACTTTGCTCTGTTGAGTGAGTGACTATGTGAGTTAGTTATGTGCCTATATGTCAGCATTATGAAAGAAATAATTCTTCTTGGTTGTGCAGTTTAAAGCTGACCTAGAATTTGGGGAAAAATATTAAAATTAATCACAGCCAAACAGATTGTGAAGACGTGAACTGGATTGAACAGGCTTGGGATTGTGATTTAACCGTGTTAACTTCCAACAGAAAGTGAAGTAGTGAAAAGTCAGGTACCATATTTGATGAAAATGATGTTAAATAATCTCTGCGGTTCATATAACACCTACAAATTAACGTACACATCTGGGAAGCGTGTAGCTCCAGGTTTGAAGAGAAGTGTTTTGCTGGTATTCCGTAGCCCTACATTAATTGCCTCAATGTCATAGGTTTCTTTCTTGTCACTCCAGTCAATTTCGAGGCACTTCTTGATGGCTTTATTGTGTTGCAGCTGCTCCTCTATTTGTTTCAGCATGCGGCCCATGAAGTCCCTTGCCTCTCCTATCAGTGCTGTCTCCTAAAACAGGTACCAAAATTTATTATAGTTAACAAGAATTTTAACAAATACAATCTATGCAGAGTTTCATAACTCAATAGTGTTGATGTTCATTTACTGTAAATACAAATCTAATTGTTGGAAAGTTAATCAACGGTACAGATACCACACTGCACAGGTGTTATAAATGCCATTGTTAAGAAAGCTAATAAATATTATCTATACTTGGATACCTGAAAATGAATGGAATATCTCCAAGTGTCTTAGTTTGCTACATTAAGGATTTTACACTACATGCAAACAAGAATTATTTGTTCTTGTATTCGTTCAAGTATACGACATATAAAACTTTGTTTCAGTTAAAAGTTGTAGCATGTAATGAGATTTACATTTATGTCATTCACCAGTTATTTATATAACAGAATAGGCTTTACTGAAAAACAAATATCCTTGAGTTTAGTTTCAAATGATGAAAATTAAATTAAATTCACCCATAAACTTCAGGCACAGATCCTCAGTGCTCATTATTAAGTAATTTTAAAGATGGACTATGAGGATAAACAGACAGATGTTACATTATGTTCCTTCATTTTAGACATACTGTGCAAAGAAGACAGAAATATCTGTATTACACTACACTGCAACAGACTAATGTATCACATTGAATTATGCCTTAATGAGTTCCTCCTCAGCCTTGTCTCTCACGATGTCTGGCTCCAGGCGTGCTGTTCTTTGACTGAGGCATTCCCCTGCAATGGATTCTGGCATGTGCAGCACTCCCATCGCTGTCTTAAGACGCTGTTTCTGTAATTCTAGTGTGTTGATCTCGTCTGACATGGTACTGATTGCATGCTCCAACTCAACCTTCCATCGATATACATCATGCACACGATGGGATAGTCGTTTGGTATTTTCATTCTGTGTTTTGTTTGTGTCAGCAACCGTAAACGTTGCACACTGTCGCCCATTATGGTCCACCCTGCATAACACAATAGTCTATAAGAATATTTATAGTCAGTACTTGAAAACAAAGAACCCTATAAATATAAAATACAGTATAAATGGTCTTAAGTAAGTATCCAGGAAAACTTAAACTTCATAAAAAAAATTATCAAATCAAGGATGATGAGGTGGGTGTCCAGGCAAGATATCAGAAGTGGTTACAGCATTTTTGTCAGAAAGCCTGAAGGGAAGAAACCTCTTTAGAACCAGATGTAGGTGTGAGGAAATATTGAAACATATCTTAAACATGATTTGAGGATGTGGACCAGATTCATGTGATTCAGGATAGAGTCTGGTGGCAGGCTAGGCTACTCTAAATATAGTAGAGAAGAGTTAGGTTTTATGAAAGGTGGGAAATTCTTTTGCTGACTGAGCAACTATTAACTTATTAAACTCTCTATAAAATGTATGTGAACCTTTTCTTTCTTTCTTTGAATTCACTGTTGCCTGTTGCTTCAATGGATATAATATACAGTTCCTTGCATAAGCCTTTAATTAGGCCTGCACTTACACTTTGGCATGATGTGTTTCCTTGTCTGAGCCTTTCAGAACATCTGCATTGTGTTTGCGCCACTCTCCTTCACTGTAACGTGTTATTGAGTACTTGTCCACCATTGGTCTTGTTCTGGTCAGTTCTGCCAGTGGTCCCCAGTCTACGTGGCCTGTGGTCCATGGTCCAGTCACACCCATCTTCTGTGACTCCTGGCCCTCAGCTGTTGTGGCTTTAGGAGGAGGGAACTTGTCCTGAAGCTTAGGTAAATAGCATGGTGCTCCATTCTGCACAGACATTCAAGTGGCACACATGTCATCCCTGAGATCAAGCTTAATGTTCCAAGTGGCTGCTTTCTCCAATTTCCAGCCTATTATCTTGATTTCATTACCCTAACAATTAATAGATGGCTTGCATAACATCATAAATTGCCCACTTCATACCAACTATAATCTACATTTCCCTCCAATCACAGCTAAATGTGCAATCAGAGGGAAAGACCATAGAAAACATCAAATTTGTGGTAACGATCTGGTTGGTCAAGCCAAATGTAAAAGCTGATACCTTACCACCAGAGCTACAGCATGCCCCCAAATGCACACATAATGACTCTGGATTTACAGGGTGATTGTTGGCAAGCAGGCTATGCCTCCATAGGCCTGTTTTCAGGTTGAGGGATGAAGTTTGGAGCCTGCTAATAATAGCTGATTACATGTAATTAGATCTAGCTGAAGAATTGGTATAAAAACTACTAAGAGGGATCGGTATCAGTGACTTCAAGACTCTCATACTTCTTTCTTGGACACTTTATGAATGTACACATATTGATAATGCCCAGTCTTAAGCAAAAGTGGAAAGTATAGTCCAGTTTGGAATATTCATTGTTTCCAAGTGCATTGCTTGTGATTTTTGTGTTGCTCCTTAGCCTCAGTGTTCATTTACTGCAGCTACAACTGTTTTACTAGTAAAATGAAACAATAATATACATACAACATAGAAAAGAATCATATATTATACTGCTGGCAAATGTAATCAATAGTACAGATATTACACTACATAGAGGCATACATTCTTTTATTGTGTTTGATAAACATTCCCCATAACAAAAAGAATCTTGCAAATAAAACAGAACTTTTTGAGATATTTCATAACATTTTACTCCAGCCTTATGTAAAGTAGGGTTTTTTCAGTTAAGAGATAAGTACCAAAATGCAATTTGGTCAATAACTTGTACCTTCTTACACAAAATTCCACTGAATTCCATTAAGTAACTTTTACAGATGGACAGACATGATGTATGAGGTGCGATCAGAAAGTTTCAAGACTGTGCCCTATAAAAACCTGTACACTTATCTCAGGTATTAAATTCATCCATCACCCTCGAAGTAGTTCCCCTGGGAGTGAACACAACGATCCCAGCGCCGCTGCCAAGCCTGGAAGCATCCCTGGAAATCTTTCTTTGTCAGCCTGTCAAGCACCATCTGCGATTCTGCCTGAATCTCTTCTATCGTCTCAAATCGCCTTCCCTTTAGCTGAATTTTCATCTTTGAGAAGAGGAAACCTTAGAAAGGAAGTTGGGGTCGGTTCTTGCAAGATCTTTCAGCTCCTGACAAACGAGAAGTCGATTCTGCTTCTGGTCCTCAGACAGGAGCCTTGGCACAAACTTGGCCGAGATGCGTCGCATGTGGAGTTCTTCCTTTAGAATCAGCTGACAGGTCCCAAAGCCTATCCCAACAATGTCGTACAAGTCGTTGATGGTACGACGTCGATCTTCGTAACAGTTTCGGGCGTTGTGCTCGAAGATGGTCGGCCAGAACGCTCGTCATCATCGACAGAGGTTCGGCCATTTTTAAAACGTGAATGCCACACAAAAGTTTGTGCACGACCCATTGCGGACTCCCCAAATGCTTGCTTGAGCATTTCATAGGTTTCCGTAGCCGTTTAGGCGAGTCTTTGGCAAAATTTGATGCACACGCCATTCCGAAATCGCAGGAGGGTCGGTGTAATGCACTACCAAAACGCCCGTAACTAAGAAACAAATGCTAATTCGATGATGCCGGCTGGCACACTGATTCACTATGAATGTAGCCCGCCCCCCCTAGCGGCAGAAGCTCGTACTACATCCGGTTCGCACTCTATTGACACAGTCT